AGGTTTTCAATGGTGAATTTTCACTAAAAACTGTCTAAATCATAAAAAATTCATATCTTGCAAAAGCTTTGGTTTATAAGCCTAAAAGTGTCGCAGTGAGTAGACAACATCTATTTACAACTATGGTGTAAATTTCCGACTCCTAGCTGATCATGGTCGTGAGCTATTAATTAATTATTATTAATGGCATTTTCATTAATTAACTCATATCTCCGTCAAAAAGGCGCATGGGCCCAAACTAACTGCGGGTTTTTCATTACTGACCATTCCCTACATGATGAAAATAGTCTGAGTCGAAAAGCTTTTAATCACCTCGAGAGGTTCCCTCGTCAGTAAAAGCACACTATTTCTTTTATTGTACTAATTGTTGTTTAAACATCTCTCCTTTGATTTGTACATATCAATACTGCTTTCAATAGACGAAAATAACTTCCTGATTTTTAATTATTCTTTTACAGAAACTGCTAGTTACGGTTGCAGATATGCACCATTATAAAATCTGACAGATTTAAGAGGTGGAAATGGTAAAATTGTTTAATTGTAAAATTAGATTTCTTTTAAATTCTGACAAGAAATAGAAAAGTTAGTTTTACGTCAGAAGAAGCAAGACTTCTCGTGGAAAAAATTAATTAATAAAAAAACTAATTTAAAGAAAGAACAGGCAAATTGCTTAGCTTAGATAAGAATCTTACATCTAGGACAAATTTAAGTTGGATGTTCAGAAACATTTTCAGTTCTCCAACTTAAGTACATTTTAAAGTCAGACAAGTAGCGTAGATTAAGTCTAAGTTAACAAACTTCATTTAAGACTTTTTGTGAAACAATTCCCAGGACTTATCTCGCCCTTGGAACTTCTCCACTTTAGTATTTCTTGTCACATCAGGTTTTATATCTTTCATAAGAAATTAAACTTGAGCCCAAAACCAGAGATTGGCAACTTGGATCTAAAGATGGGCGCCGTATAATTCAATTCACATAAAAAACGTTTTTTTACTTAACAAGTCTAAAAATACTTTATAACAAATGTTTATTACATTTCAAATACGTTAACAAAGTTAGATTTTTTGACGTAAGCCGCGCACGATGAGAACGCATCAAAAAACCGCTTTGAGAAAATATTCTCTCTATCGGCGCAGATGTTGCAGGGACAGACAGAAACATTTTAGCATGTTTGAGTAAAATAGGATATTTATTTTGTTTTTGAAAGATAAGCCTTATCTTTCAAGAACAAAATAAATTTTAGCAGAAGAAGGTATTGATTCAAACCTTATCTGATAAAGTTTGAATCAATACCTTCTTCTGCTAAAAATTCCTCAAGTTCAGTAAGTATTACTGTATTTGTAGTTGTAACTTTTTTCGGGGCATTAATTAAATATGAAAACAACGACTTTGTCTTTTTACATGATGAATCATTGCTAATTGTTTCTGCTGATTCCTGAATACGTACTTCCGTAACAATTCTTCCACCTAAAATTTGACTAGTATAATTAAGAATCAGGTCTTCAATCCTCTCATGTGATGAGATGTTCTACTTAGGATATTCTCAAATCTCTCTGTCTCTCTCTCTCTCCCTCTGATAATATATAACAAATATGTTTAACATCTTCATAATAATGTAAAGTTGTACGTGACTGACTCGAAAGTGACTCCACTCAGTTTATCAAGATTCTCGAGTCTTTCGATAGAAAAAGCATCTTTTAGATAGAAAAATCAATTCTGAACACGATGGTGTGTGTTTCTGATTTTTGACAAACAATGAAGTACATTAAATTTTGAATGGATAGTCGTGCTTGAGGTTCTTGAGCTATCATCGGATTTTCCAAAGATCTCTTAAAAACCTGCTGTCGAAAAAGAGTTTTGAAATTTTTTCTGTTAACAAAAGAAGTAATTCAGTCTTCTCTTTCCAGTGGTAAAGAGTCGAAATCTCTAGCTGTTCTTGTTTTTTCAACTTATTCAAAAAACAATCGAGAGCACTGATTTTTTCGATAACAGTAAAAGAGAAGAAACAGGTATTGTAGAGAATCCACTTCCCTAGGAAACCGTTTTTTGGTCTGTCTAAACGCTATTTATGTACTTCTTTAAATTCAACATATTTCGAACCCTCTACGTTAGAAATTTGCCTTTATTCGGTTATGTTAAAGTCACACAAGAAAAAACATGTTCTGCTTTTGACCTAAAAAAACACAAAACATGGTTATATGATTTTATTTTGACATCTTATCGATAGAAAAATCAATTCTGAACACGATGGTGTGTGTTTCAAAATTTTGACAAACGTTGGTAAGTCGGCTAACGGGTGAAACCGAAGTAAGGTCGAAACCACCAGAGTTTTTCAAAACTTAAAACTAATTTTTTGTTACTCAGCTCGATGTCCTCTATCCAACCATGTATAAATATATTAAAAAGAAAAGTCATGGAAACTTGAGTGTGTAGAGAGTGTATGTATTTATATATGTTATTTTAGAAACCTTGAATATCACTGACACATATAATAACACATCACCGCATTCTGATTGTGACTGATAATTCCTTCCTCCAAATTTCTCTTTATGGATACCACAAGGTGAGGAAGTTCTATTGGAATATGTGGTTTCGGTAAACGACAAGTGTGTTCTCCAACGGATTTATTTATGACATCATCAAATAATATCTTATACATTGTTGATTCTGGCAATAGACGTGTTAAAAAGTATATTACTGGAGAAGACAGTGTCTCAACTATTATTAGTCAAGGTTTATTTAAACCAACAAGTATTTATGTTATATGTGACGATCAAATTTATATTCTTGATTCGACGAACGATGAGGAATTGATAGAGAGGAGTTGTATCGTAAAACTGTGGACAACGTCCTCTAATGAAGGTCGAATTATTGCGAAAGAAGTGAAAGGAAGTATATGCTACAATCTCTATTTAGATCTCGATCGTAATATTTATCTTTCAACAGAAAACGACGTTCGAAAATGGTTTGCACCAACGTATGTGTATAGTATAATAGTTGCTCAGTTTAAACGAGAAAGTCCGTCTATTCCGATTTAGGTTGATGACCGTTTTAGTTTGTATTACTACCATTCGAAGAAACGCTCCATACAAAAATGGATGTATCACAGTTCAATGGGTTTAACAATCCTATCAAACATACCCTTCACAGATTTAAGTAATCGAATCGGCTTTACATTCGATTGTACAAATCAAAATATTTACTATACTTATCCTACTATTACGAATACGCCATCCGCATATGTTATTGCACAATTTAATCAACAGACAAACAAAACAACAATTCTACCTTTATTTCAGCTATAGAATTTGACTCCTATGGAAATTTATATGTGAGCGAACTTTTTCAACAAGGAATTAAAGAATTTCTAATCATGAACTAATCAACTGAGAAAATCTGATCTCTTCATTTAATCTGAGATCTACGAGAAGCAGTTCCGATGATAGATGTCGTATTTATTCTTTTAACTACCTGTTACAAGCCACATGTTTTTGCTGACATTGCGTAGTCAAAACTTTGTGAATGAAACTATTTGAATCAAAAATAGATAGACTGCTAGTGATCGGATGTTGACGATTTTATGTGATAATTTTTTCAAAAAACTAGTCAGTTTGCCGTTTTCTGTAAATCTAAAGAATCAGGTCTACTTAATTATCATAAAATTTTCTTGATTAGAATTGATAATTCTTCCATTCTTTTCTGACAGTTGTCCATTCTTAACTTTTTATCATATTGTAATAAACACTGGCATAAGTTACTGTTGAACGGGACTTGATCTATCATACGGCAAAGATGCGTATATTTTCTTCTGCGAATATGCCTCCCTTTTGCATTGAAAACCGTTGAAATAAAGGCGAAAACAAACATCAGAAAACGTGGACCTGTTTGAGAGAAGAAAAAAGTTTTGACAGAAATTATTTTACAAATAAAAAATCAGCTGATTATTTTTGTAAGAACTTTATCATGATCTCGATTGTTCATTATGTTTTTCGCGATGTGTCAGTTGGTGGTGAGGAGAAACCTGCTTGAAGAAACACGTAAACACTTTCTTTCTTCTAAAAATCATTGATTAAAGAAATAACGAAATTTTTTATACACAATTTTTCTAGTAGATATGAATTCTGAAACTGGACTTTTTCAGATGAAACTAGATGAATTTTTACACGGCTGAGAAAGAGATAGAATTTGATAGACTCCGAAAGAGTCATTCACGTGAACTCATGTTGTATGTTAGATCATGTCTCGGTAGCTCTCAGTGGTTAGAACTTCCGACCTGTTACGACTTGGTCCTGGATTCGATTTCCCGTCAAGGCATATACTATCGGTTCTTCCACCGATCGATCACATCCTCTGCTGTGGTGTGTGATCAATCTGTAAAAGTAATTACATTATTATGTCACGTGTTTGCTTATCAAATTATGCCATTTATTCAGCTGTATAAAAATTAATGTGTTTTTCTAGTAGAGAAATGTCATCGATGCACTGAGGGCATTTTTCCGTAGAGCACCCGCGGCACATCTGATTTTTGGACTTAAAAAATGATTATTTCCGCATAATATAGTCTTATTATGCACCAGATATTAATAGAAGTAAAAAAATCTTTATTCGATAAAGAGTGCCTTTAGGAAAGGGAACCCTTGTCCTGTATTTTCGTCAAAAAATGTTTTATTTGTAAAACTAACAAATTATACATCATTCGATCCAGTTTTTCACGCTGATTCCGAATTTCACATTATTTTCCTAATAAAACGGGGTTGACGGAAAACATCGAAAGGAAAAATGTCGGAAAGGAAAATGTCGATAAAAAAAGAGCAAAACGTCGAAGAGGAAATGTAGAAGAGCAAAATGCCGAAAAGGCAAACGTCGAAAGCGGATAATGGAAGAAGGAAATATCGAAAGGAAAACGCCGAAAGGAGGAGCTTTCTTTCTGTTCCTTGAAAATCACTCAATGAGATATTTTATTAAAGCACATAGAGAAAGAGAGTAGAAGAGAAATGATAGGGCCAATAGATCGTGAACGAACTTTTCGTTTATCCTGATCAAGAACAATAATCCAGCCAGTAACTGTTTTACATTAAATTCTCTATTGAGAAATCATCCATTAGTGTGTTAAATCGTTGTTGAAAAGCTGCTGTATTTCCCGATTGCTTTGGGGCTGATGTCCCCAGGGTATATGTTAGGGACTTCATAAACGGTCGATGAAAAATTAGGATATGACGTTCGACGGATACATCTGCCATTAGAAATAAACCGTCTGGAAGCGTCTTTTTATTAGCTTTTTCACATGGATAGATAGCAGAAAGTGTCCTTACCGAATGCTGTATGGCCGAATGATCATTTTCATCTCCAAAATGAAACACACGCAAATTTAATTCAACAATGGATACCGAATAATGAATTTTCAAATTGTTTTATGTACACATCATCATTTGACAATCATTTACCAATTAAATGTTTGAATTGGACTAACTTTCTAAATTTCTAAAATTCTAGGCTATTCTAAATTAGGCTATTCTATATCCGATCATCAGAGATGTCGGAAGAAATTATATAAAACTCTAAGGTTTTCCTAAAGGATTCCTGGAAAACCTGCTAACAGAAAGATGCTTTTTCGATCTTATAATCAGGTTTGACGGGCAACATTAATATAGGATATTAATATTTGATCTGCTGATGAACTCAGCCATTTACAAAAGTAGGAGCATTAGAATCTTTATTTGTAGAATCTTTAGATCATTTTTCTTAGCACTTGTGCCATCAGAGATTTCTAAAGAGAAAACAAAACGGT